ACCCAAAACCCCAAAACCCCAAAACCCCAAGAGTTTAAAATTAGGCAAATTTTGTGCTAAAAAGAGAAATAAATTTAGACATAATTTTATTGTGATATATCTAATTAAAAAAATGCAGAAAATTTTAGCTAGAAACATTACCTCAGTAGCAATGGCTTTAGATGCCATAATAGGACTGGCTGTACTTTTCTTTGTTCCATGTAATTATTCCAATCACTTTAATCACACTAGATACTGAGATTGATTGGGTAGCTTATATGCAGCAAGTTGAGACATTCTTAGATGGTGAGCGTACTTATACAAACTTAGTGGTAATTAAGCACTTAAATTTAGCTTATCTTTAGGGATAAACTGGGCCTTGCGTATATCCAGCAGGCCACATCTACATATTTTCCTTACTTTACGCTCTAACTGATAACGGCAAAAATGTCTTTGTAATACCTTATATCCATCTAATGATAATTTAGAGAGCTTAACTCCTTTTTTATTGTCTTTACCTATTCCAGCTGTATGCCTTGATTAGCATCTATAAATTAGCTTTCAAAGATAGAGAACTGACTTACAAGGAAATTATTACAATCTTATTCTTAGTTTTGTCCAGAAGAATTCATTCAATCTTCATTCTAAGATGCTTTAACGATTGCATATCAATGACTTTTATGTACTTAGCAGTTTACTATTTACAAAGATCTTAAACTGTTCCATCTATTCTATTCTTCTCGTAAGCATAGAATTACAGTAATTATTTTTAGATTAGGACTTTCAGTCAAAATGAATGTGCTACTATTCTTACCAGCACTTCTCATGAATTTGAATTTCCATTTTGGACTTTTGAACACTTTTAAAAACCTTCTATATGTGATTCTATTCCAAATATTTATTGGCTATCCTTTTATTGCTCATAATGCTTCTGCTTATTTTGGAAGAGCTTTTGAATTCAGCAGAGTGTTTACGTTTAAGTGGTCTGTTAATTGGTAATTTTGGGGAGAAGAAATTGCAACTGGAAAGTCACTAGCAACTACCCTTCTAGTAATTCATTTAAGCCTGCTGCTTGTATTTTTATTCTTTAAATGGACTCATGCTGAGAGAGGTGTTAAAAGCTGGATAAGTGAAATAAGACTAGATGATCTCTTTAATCAAAATTAGCGTGAACTTCATCCTTACTATGTAGCATAAAGCATGTTCACTTGCAACTATATTGGAATAGTATGTGCTAGAAGTCTACACTTCTAATTTTACAGCTGGTATTTTCATCAACTCCCCCTTATATTACACTCTATTGAAGGACTGCCCATTGCGATTAGGTAATTTAAAACTTATTTATTCTTATTAGTGCTGTCTTTTTGTTTATAATTGAAGTGTGCTGGAACATATTCCCTGCAAGAAGTATTTCATCCTTTGTTCTTTTTATCGTTCATGTCGTAATCCTATCTGGGTAATTGCTTTTTGGCAAGAGATGGGAATCTCCATACTAGATTGCTCCTATAAGAGTTAAAAATCCAATTAAGTTTGATTGATATTGAGTTAATAAAGCTTAATTAAAATTAATTAAAGACATTGAAATATCTAACTCATGAATACTCAATATTTACTCTTAGCAATCACAAAAAGAACTTGACTATTTCCTATTAAATCTCATTTCTGCTCTTCTCCAAATCCTTCTTTCTATAAACAGAGTGCCAGACACTTCCTCCATTTCTAGCTACCTTTTTAGCCTCATCAGTTCCTTCTGTCATAAACTTTATGCATGGATCATCTTTAGTCTCTTCCTCTGGAACTCTTTCAAATAAAGGATGTAACTCCATATGTTCAACTTCCCAATCATGAAGTTCCTTAACATCAGTAGCTGTATAAATCTTTCCACCTGTCTTCAGTGAATAAGCATAATCACTCAATAATTGAGTTCTAAATTTTATAATTAAATCTTCATTCCTAAACTTACGTAATAATTCTTCTTCTGTGATTTTGCTTCTTAAAGTGTGGGTCAGCAAACAGGATAAACATTTTCTCCAACTATAAATGCATTTACTACATCTTAAACTCTTACTGATTCTTTTTTGAAGTAATTGTGGATAGTCTTCATTGTGTTGGTTCTCACAACTCCAATATTTAAGTAATCCTTATATCCTGAGTTTATTCTGCTTGAATTGATTTTTTAAACAACAAAATTAGTAACTTTGTCTCTAATCTCCATTCCTAAGATTAATTCATTTGGGAATTCCTTTGAAAGCTCGAAAAGTAATCCTCCATAACCACAACCGATATCTACTATAGTTGGCACTTTCTCACTCTTTTGCTCTTCTATCTTTTTGTCATAATTCAATTAAAACTTTCCAGCTAGATAAAATCATTTGACTATCTTATAATGCTTACTATTGCAAAACATTTTATCATCGTTGTTATTTGGAACTCCAAAGAATGAAGGGTAGTGGAGTGACCAGTCAACGTAGTCTGTATTCATTGGACTGTAATAGTTATTTCACTTATAATAATGTTAATTACACTGGAATAGTAAGATCTCCCATAGGATTAATGTGTGCTCTCATTCTATGCTTTGACTTCTTAGGCATTTTAGCTCTCTTCATACCTGGTTCAAGAGACCCTTGACTTTACTGTGATTGTGAATCAGATTGATCATCCTTGTCTTATTCTCTCTATTTGGCTGCTTCCATGCTTGATCTCTTCATATTAGATATAAATATTAAATTTCTTTTAATGGTAACCCTGTTTGTTAATTTATTTAAATAAAACATTATTCCAATCACAATTAAGAGTTCCTTAACAAGGCATTTAATTAATAAGGTCTTCACTGAGCGCAGCCAATTTACTTCCCTAAATTGCAACTCAAAACAATATTTTTGAAAGTCTCTTTCTTGCTTTGATGACCACCTCATTGCTTGAACCTAGCTTTGCAAAGACTTCAAGCAATAATGTGTAGCCTGCTTTTTAGTTCCAATTTCTGTCGATTTGCATTATTTGCAAACAAGTTTCTATCGCCTCATCATATTTAGTCTTTTCAAATTGCATCTTTGCTAAGTCATATCTGCTCTAGAGGTCACTTGGGTCTTTATCAATCTTTTCATGAAGCTATAATTCCTCATCGCTAGGTTTTTAGGTATGCAAAATATTCAAAATCTCTGCTTGAACCTTATTTAATAAGTTTTTGTAGTAATCTGAAAGATTTTTCTTCTATGGCTCAGTGATGCTATTTATTGTCTCTTGCGACTTTTTAGTGTCCTTATGATTGAAGACGAAACAATAACTTATGCCCACCAAGAATTAAGGGCCAAACTTTTCTCTCCAGTTTTCATGTGAATAACCCTCAAGATACATTTTCTCAGCTAAATCTAATTTATTGGTATCCACATATTCCTCAGCTTTAGTTATAAGACTTTGAATGACGTTCTCATCATGAGAAATCTGCTCTACCAAGATAGCAGTCTCGAAGAACTGTTATAGATGTTCCTGAGTAGGTATTCCAACAAATGTATCTATTAATTTATATTATAAAATAGCAATATCATACCTATTATCCCACCTTTGTTTATTAGAAAAACAGCTGGAATATTCCTAACTTTGAGTCCAGTTGCAATCTAAGGCAAATTATCAATGTTCATTTTGACTAGCTTGAACTTTCCTTCACCAGCTGCAGTCATTTCCTCTAAAATAGGAGTAAGTTTCTTGCAAGGACCACACCAACTAAGCATAAGTATTAAATTTTGATATTATTTACTCTGCATAACAATCAAGAATAACTGGCTTATCTGATTACATAACCTTAGGTAACCATTCGTTGTAATCATTCAATTCATCAACGTAACCCTTAACATTCTCTAAAAAGTCTTTGGCTTAATCAATGGATGCTGCTTCTGATTCGTCTTTAGCTACAGGAGATGGTGCTCTTGGTGGTTTAGTATTAAAGTATCTTGCTGGATTTTAGGTCATTCTTAATTAATTTTATGACTGTTAAATGACTAGTTGTACTGTACTCATTGACTTATTTATATTTCGTGAACATGAGTGAGCTAAATGATTAGACCAAACTTTCTGTGCTATTTTCTTCATTAATCGAAATAATATTTATAATCATTAATCACTAACTAATAAATTTTATAGATAAAATAATATTATTTACTCAATAATTATATCAAAATTGATTGATGGGGTTTTGGGGTTTTGGGGTTTTGGGG